TTCAGTCGCTACCCTGGGCTATTGCGAGTCGTGCGATTTGTGGCTTACTGAATGGCAACCTCGCCGTCTCACGAACCATGGTCGGTGAGCTGGCTGAAGCAACAGGAGTTGCAAAAGGCAGAGCCTTCAGCATCTTTGGCTTCTGTATCGGTGTTGGCTGGATGGGTTCGTCTGTTCCTCTTTCCCCACGTCAATATGGACGTGTCTTTCGTCTTGAAGCGTGATCTTAACAATGTGATCAGTCGGTCCCTTCATTGGAGGTTCACTCGCCAGCCCAGCCGAACAATTGGGGCTTAGTGGCCCTCGCAGACTCTTCGAGACGTACCCATTTCTTCTGCCATGTTTGTTCAGTACAGTCTACAACTTGAGCGTTGGGACCTTGGCTCTGCTGTTTCTCACCGAAACAGGCAAGCTTGCAGAGCAAGCAGCCCTTTGTGTTGATGACAACGACAGCGATGAGACCGGGGAAAATGAAAGCTCTCGCCTCCTTCCCCCAGGCCGGTACAACTCTGGTACAGGTCGCTTGTCGCACCAACAGAGCGCCAAGGAACAACCCCTTAATCTTCGTCGAGCACAGGGTTTTCTTTTGCTCTCATCATTGTCAGTGACTCTTCCTGCAAGCTAGTCATTGTTCCTTATTTTTCAACTGTTTTTTGCGACGACATCCATGCTGACCGAACATTCCTGCAGCTTCTACTTCGTCCACATTATCTGTTTCGACGAACTATACGCATTGTTCGCAGCGTCAAGCTCGTCTCGGGGCGTTGGTCTCTCCTTCCAGCCGCGACAAATTGCCAGTTCGCTCGCATATGCAGGGCCTGCCATGATTGGAGCTCTGCTGTGGTTTCCGGCGCTGCACCAAAGGTTCACGTCCATGCCGCTCTACCGTCTTGCAGCTCTGGTGTCCCTCGTTTTGTACCCCTTGTTCTCGCTTCTACCCAAGCTTGCTGCTACTCATGGGCATTCTGAAGGGACTCCGGTTGGGTTGTGGGTTCCGCTGATTGTGCTTATTCTTCTCCGATACGCCGCTATGGTCGTTGGTTTAGCGAGCTTGCAAATCATGGTACGTTGCATTCCGGCTGCGGTCACGATGCACATGCTTACGATGTTGTATTACAGTCAAACGACATGGTCAAACCAGAAGAGAGGGCGCTGATCAATGGTCTCGGCCAGTCAGTAGGCTCCTTTGCGCGCGCTGTTGGGCCGTCGCTTGGGGGTTTCACGTGGTCGTGGAGTCTTGGAAACAGTCTCATCGCGCCCTTTGACTTCCACGCAAGCGTATGTTTTTTCTCAGTCTCATCCGCCGGCGTTTTGTCACGTCCGTTATCTTTCTGACCATCGGGCCATAGTTTGTACTCCTCGCTTTGATTTCCTTTGCGCAGTTCATCAGCTCGCTGGCGCTTCCGAATCAACAGGAGTTGGATGCGGAACACAAGAGATGGAAATCAATGCCAGGGCAAGATTCGAGGAGACCAGGACAAGTGTGATAGAATAGTGTCGGTCTTGCGTGCGGTATAGCAGCGCGTGGACTGTAAAGAAAGGAACGTGCCGGCGCCGGCCTGCGCCGCTCCGCCCAATGACCGTCTGTCGGCCCCACTCTGTTAGCGTCGCCGACCGTCGCCGACGCTAATGCACGTTTAAAATCGAGACCCACACGCATCTTTTGTATCGTGCATCGTTCTTTCTTCTGCTTGAGGATGTGACAATTGGACTGCGGAAACGCGTGCCGTGACGCGTTACGCAAAGAACAGTAGCTTAAGTTTTGTTGCTCCGGGTCGGTAGTTTTCTCAGTATGCTTGTGTCATCGGCTTGTTGGTGGGGTCTTTGCTTTGCTAATCACCCTGTTTCCATGGGCCGGCACTTGGTTGGCCCCCTGGCACCTGCATCTGCACCCGCGTCGCCGAAAGAAGGGGTCCTTCCTCAGCTCTGCATGTCGCTGCCGGACAAGGACAGGTGCACAATAAGAGAGGCAAATGCTCTTTCTCTCCTCCTCTCCCATCCAGTTGTCCGTCTCAAATACATCCCTTCTACTCCTCGAATCGACGTCTCGCTCGGCCTGCTCCTGTCCACCGATTTCGACAGCTTGCAGTTACTGCCGCCATCTCCGAAATGTCCGCTGCCACTACAACCACAGACAAGGGTGCCAAGCCGTCTCTCGACGAGCCGGTGACTGACTCCTCGCAGGCAGGCGTCGATATCGAAAAGCAAGACGCCGCCGCCGCCTCGCAGGATGAACCACCGTCGAAGATGCCGCCTGGAGCCAAGGCAGGCCTGACGGTCCGTCAGTTCTGGCTCGCCATGCTGGGTCTCAATGTCGGCATGCTGCTGACGGCGCTCGACTTCAACATTGTTGCCACAGCTGTGCCCATCATCTCCTCCGAGTTCAAGGAATACAATAACTCTGCGTGGCTCGGAACCAGCTTCCTCATCACTTTTGCCATTATTATGCCCATCACCTCCAAGCTCAGCGACGCCTTTGGCCGCAAGAACGTCTTCCTTGCCGCTACCGTGGTCTTCATCGTTGGGAGTGCTCTTTGTGGTTGGTCTAATAGCATGAACATGCTGATTGCGTCCCGCGCGGTGCAGGGTCTCGGTGCTGGTGGCATTTACGGCCTCGTGAATGTGGGTGACCTTGAAATGCATTTAACGTACTGATAGTTTTGGCCTCCATAACTGATCTCAATCTTCTCAGGTCATTCTAACCGACCTTGTGCCACTCCAAGATGTAGGCAAGTACCTTGCCGTCACCGCCATCGTCTGGGGTATCGCAGACATTGCGGGACCCTTATTAGGCGGTGCATTTTCTCAGTACGTGGTCTCCCTGTCCATCGCTTCTACGCAATCTTCTATCATTTGCTTACAATTTTGTGACTACAGATACGCGACATGGAGATGGTGCTTCTGGATCAACCTCATCATCTCACCGATCAGTTTTGTCATTGTCGCCATTGTTCTCAAGCTTCCCCATAACAGAAACACCACCATCAAGGAGGAGTTCCTCAAGTTTGACTACCTCGGCACCGTCCTCATCTCCGGCGGCACCACGACCCTCGTTCTCGGCCTTCAGTGGGGCGGAAACATCTTCCCCTGGGGTGACGCTAAAGTCATCGGCACTCTGGTCGGAGGTTTCGCCATGATTGTCGTTTTCTACGTCTCCATCCACTTCGCGAAGGACCCGCTCATCTTCCCATCCATGTTCAAGAGCCGCACTCTCATCTGCCTCTTCATTGCCGAGTTCTTCTTCGGTGTGACCCTTCTCGGTAGGTTACCGCGATAGCCGCTTCTGCCTGCCAGCTCCATCTCCGAAGACCGCCTACTGACAAGAAGTCTATGTAGGCACCATGTACTACGTCCCCCAGTTTTTCCAGCTCGTCTTTGGAGACACAGCCACCCTCTCCGGTGTTGGTCTCCTGCCTATGGTACGTCAGAGAATGATTCGCAACCCGACATCCTCACAAACACAAAAGCTCCGACTTACCATTCTCGTTCTGAATAGATGCTCGGTCTCATTATAGGCAACCCCATCGCAGCGTGGGTCACCAGCAAGTATGGTGTAACAATTATTAACGCCGTCCTCGGCGCCGGACTTGAGATTTTAGCCTGCGGCCTCATGACCCGCTGGAACGCCACCCCCCCCCCGCGCCGAGGCCATCGTCGTCCTCATCATCCTCGGTATCGGCATGGGTGCCGTCATGTCCGCCCTCTTACTAAGCTGTCAAGTGTCCGTGCCCCCGGCCCAATAGTGTCGTTACGGCCTGGCCATTTTCATCCAGACGGTCGGCGACATCTTCGGCATTGCCATCTTTGCCGCCGTTTTATCTCAACAGGCTCAAGAGCATCCTGCAGGGGCTGGGCCTCACAGCTGATCAGGTTGGCGTTGTCCTATTGGATGTGCAGCACATTCGGCAGACCTTTGACGGCGACCAGCTGCAGGACATTATTGATGTCTATGCGCGCAGTCTTCAGAACGGCTGGTGGTTCATGTTTGCGGCTGCGTCGGCTGTCCTGGTCTTCTCTGCTGTCTGCCGCCAGTACAAGTTCGGAGATAAATGAGGGCTTGACACCGATCAGGTTCGTCATTCATAGCATATACCGGGGTTTGGGGTCAATATTCATTTGCTCTGGGGGTTTTTGACCTACCGGTTTACTAACTTGATCGGTTTCTTTTGAAGTAGTCCCTTTTTTTTTGAATAGCAGGACTCTGTTTTCGGAATCGTCCGTCAAGCCGGCCGGTGTCAGAGTTGTCTTGCATATCACTGCATTCAATGAGACAGGGGAGGAACAGACGCTCTAAGAGCAAAAGCAATGTCCTTCTCATACGACCGAATGGAGCTCTAGAATACAAATACCATTTGTTGATACCAAGGCCTGTGTCACTGTCACCTTCTATGTTGTAGCTCTTGATTCGCAATGTTTGGCCGGGGCTGGCGATGTGTCAAGTGGCATACTCGTGAGTTCCTGAAAGTCGTGAACATGACACAGACCACCAGGAATGCCGAGATATCTCTTGCGTGACCAACATTCCGTCTGAAACCGGGGTCATCTCGATCAAGTAGGATAAATGGGCCATGTCTGAGGTGCATCGCATGCGCATCGTTATTGTGTTGCATTTTACTGACGTGGGGGGGTAGTCGCTTCTTTCCGATCAAGGCTCCACGATTGGTCAGGCAAGTGACCAATTGAGATGATGTGCCAAAACAAGGAGCCTGAGCAATGCCACAGGTTGGTCTTTATCCATCACCATCACCAACAACATGCCCAACATGAAGCCCATCCGAGATATTTGAACCGTTTGTCGATACCGTTCCGGACTTACACTTCGAACCCGTTATTATCTTAAGGATATACGATCGTTTGCATGCTATTTTATTAAGAGGCAAAGCCTAAACCTGCAAAGCTTCGCGCGTTCGCTGCGGCCATTCAGGCGAACGAAAGTAACTAATAGACTACTCTATAAGTACGTTAACGATATCGAACGATTAGAGGAATACCGATATAGCGGCTATTACTTAATTTAACTAAATAATAAACTATAGGAACGTTACTCGATTATCGAAAAGCTTAGGTACGGATCGTACTCTACAATCTAGCTTATATAAGATAAAAAGCTTAGTAGATACGTAGTAGTTAATATTAGAATCGCGGACTATAGCTCTAAGGAAGCCTAGATCCTAGAATAACTTTTAGCCTATCTAACTAATAATTAGAGTAGCCGTCTTATCCCCCTTATTCTCGACCGTTTCGAGCTTATAGGGCCTAACGGGATATATTCGTATTTAATTACCTCGCCGGCTAGACGTAGTCTCCTCGAAGCTCTTAAGGACCACGATATATTTCCGCTCGATACTACTAGATCTCTTACTACTTAATTTATAATAGTAGTTACTCGTATATATAGGCTAGGAATCGTTTATAGAGGTTAGTTATATTCCGATAGCTACCTTAGGATACTGCTAACGTTTCCTAGATATCTACCTCGGTAACCTACTCCTCTAATTACTAAGCGAGGAAATTAATAAGCTTACTATTAAAGAGCTCTACGAGAAGTATAGCGGCCTAGAGGCAGAGCTAGTAGTAAGGGCCGATAAGTAACCGATCACGTCGCTATCTATCCTAATATATATCTATACGCTAGCTTAGTTCGGGAGATATATAGAAGATTCTAGTCTATCTAAGGCTAAGCTTATACTCGCCGACTTTAGTATAGCCTTTTCGCCTACTCACGAGACTCGACTATAATCATATACGCCTCGTAAAACCCGTCCGCCTAAACTACGCTTTGATCCGACGACTCCCTTATTATATATATCCGATATTTAGAGTCTCGGCTATATTATCTAGGAGATCCTAGGCGTAAGACTATTCCTTGATATCTTCCTCCTTGAACTAGACGATATTAAAGTAAACTAGATCGATTCTCTAGGGCCGTTACTGGACGAGTAGTAGGATGCTTAGGACGGGAAGTGGAAGCGTTTCATCGCTAACGGTCAGCCGAACGGAGGGAAGACAGCCCTAGACCTATAACTAGCGATTTAAAGATACGATTTAGGACCCGAGACGACGCAGAAAGGGCGATACTATAGACGAGAGGGAGAGTAAGGCGTTCTGCAAATTGATTAATAACATCTTGAAGTTCAGGCTAGGTGAGAGGCTAACCGCGGAAGATATACTCCGGAGCTAGTGGATGACGGAGTGGGCGATGCGGGATGCCCAGATGACCTGGGCGTCAAGGGACTGACGGACTTTAGTAGTAAGCCCCAAAGAGACCCAAGGATGCAAGCTCGCATCCGTTTCTAGCATCAAACGTGTATGTTGATTAGATCTCCAAAGCTTCTTGAGTAGGCCGACGAGAACGTCTTGTGCATTGGCAGCGAGAGGTAGTCTTTTCGTCTTTTCGGTTGATGGGACCTGTAGGGACTGTATGAGCAATCGCTTGTTTAGCTAAAAATGAAAGAGAGGAATGGCTTCGATTATCAAGAATCTAATATAGCATAGAGTTAAGGCATTGCGTCTTGAGTAGTTTATGAATTGAAACGAAATCAGACTAAGATTGAGTACCCTGCAGCGTTAGAATATGATCTTTTAAACCTATTCAGCTCGCTCACCTACCCTGATATTCCCTTCCAGCGCCTGTCACGGCGAATGGTACCGAGTTAGTTTTCTTGATACCTTGAGCTGTAAAACTGAAACTCGACTTTTTGCCTTTCATGAGCCTCCCTTATCTTCGCTTACCCAGTTGCCAAAATACGTACCTAAACTACTTTGCAGCCCAATATTCAACCCACAGAGACCCACCAACCTCACTGCGGAAAACACTTTTACTTTGCAAACCGCATTCTTCTGATTGATCTCCAACGGCCATCACGCAAGACGACATAGCGAACTCACAGGAATCGACACCGAGCATGCTGCAACTGGTCCAAGTGACCAAGACCATTTCTGAAACAGTGTCTGCCATTGCCGCGACGCAGAGCAAAATGGCAGAGAGGCAGAACACCACTGTCGCCACAGCAGTCAATGCTCGTCACACTTGGCAGTCCGAAGCCGGAGAAGCAAGAGAGTGTGTTACGAA